GGGAGGGGGGGGGGAAGAGGGTGCGAGGGCCGGGCAGCGGAGGGCGCGAGCGAGGGGGCCCCTCGCCTGGAGCGCCGGGGAGGGGCCGCGCTCCCCGCTGCCACCGCCACCACGGTGTGCGAGCCTCTCGGCCGGCATCCAGCGCAGTCCCCGCGCCGCCTCCCCTCCCGGGGCTGAGGGGCGCTCCCCACCTGCTGGCCGGCCATGCCCCGCGCCCCCGGGCCCTTTTGCAAGTGCTCGATGGGCCAATGCAGGCGCGTCCCCGTCCAGCCTCTCGCGTCTTCCTCGGGAAACGGTTTCCTTGGGTGGAGTGTACCGCCAGGGCCCCACGGTCCGCCCCTCCAAAGAAACTTGCGGGTACAGTTTAAGGCATCAGAAAAACACAAGGTTGTCACTAAGTTTTGGAACAAGCAAAAAGTGTGGAGCCCCGGGCCCATCGCTTCCTCAGGAGCCGGCGCGGGGGGGGCTGTGCCGGGGCTCTCCCTCCGTCCAAGGAAACCCCGGGAACTGCCGTCAGAAGGGATAAGCTTGAGACCACACAGCGGCTGCATAGCATTTAATTCGCCTTCCTCACTTGCTGTGGCTGCTTCTAACTTGACATGCACAAGATCTATTATTTGTTCTGGCATACAGAAAGCTCAAAATTAAAACATTCCTCCCCCGAACCCCCCCACAACCCTCCCAATGGTTGCGAAAAGGGACTGAGACAGACACATTTATACATTCATAGTCACATTCCAAATGGTTGCCCGAAAATTCAGTTAACAGAAAAAATTGCTACAGGGAGAGAAAACTCTCTTACACACATTGTCTTAAAGTTAAGAGAAACTGGCAGCAGTAGTAGTTCTAATACTCGGAATGGCCCCAACTGAGAAGCTGCTGGCTGTGGACCATGGGAGCTGGAACTCGACATGCCGGAGAGCACCTGCTCAAGGGAAGCTGCCCCCCCCAGTTCCAGCAGCCGGGCAAGCCCCTTCCCTGGACGGGCTCCCCGCTTCCCCAGGGAAGGGACCCCCTTCAGCAAGGCCTTCGTTCCCCCTACAGTTGCAACTCACTCGAGCTCTTGCGTGTGCTACAATTCTTGTTGAAACTTTCTCCTTATTGCTAGGTTTTTTTTTTTTTGAAAAAAAGCTATAATACTGAAAACAAACCCCACGCTCTTTTCCCCCTCCCCTATTATTTTTTCCTTGAAAACTAGTAAGGCAAAATTGCACACACAAGTTTCCCATTTTGCTCAGTTTGTGGGAGAAATCACAACGTTATTCACACGGAGGCTGAAAAAGAGGACACACGAGAGGTTTCTATGACAAAGGGGGAACGGTCCCCCCTCCCTCAAAGCAACAGCCTTCCGGAGCTGAGCGGGAATCCCCTCCGGCAGAGAGAGGCACACCCCCCTCCCTGGGCAGGGACTCCCCCCAGAAAACCATCAGCCCATTTTGTAAACTTTTCCCGTACCTTGATTAACACACAGAAAAAACACAAAGGTCTTAATGATTATTTCAGTTCACATTCCACCCCAAGGTTTGGTGCAAAAGAAGAGAAG